ACACGATTGTCTTTATTTATATATATATATATATATATACATATATACACAATTGTCTTTATATATATATATATAACAGTTACACTATTGTCTTTACTTATATATATATATATATATATATATATACATATATACACAATTGTCTTTGTATAAAACTATAAACAGTTACACTATTATCTTTATTTATATATATATATATACATATTTACACGATTGTCTTTGTATATATATATATATATATATATATAAACAGTTACACTATTGTCTTTATTTATATATATATATATATACATATATACACGATTGTCTTTGTATATATATATATATATAAACAGTTACACTATTGTCTTTATTTATATATATATATATATATATATATATTCCTGGTGGTATTAATATTGATACATCAACAACGGTATAATAATGATGGTGATGATGACGACGTTGACGACGACGCTGACGACGACGATGACGATAATGATGATGATGGCGAAGACGCAAGCATGATACACAAATCATGTGACCACTGAGGTACTACTAGTGTTGTTAAAACACACCGCTTAGTCACAGACAGCTAAATACCTTTCATGTTAAATAATTCACAGCTAGATGTACGGCACATCAAACTACTGACCTCTAACTACAAAGAACTTCGTGCATTTACACAAAATGACATGACAGTGTCTCTGTATTCCCTCCGGTTGTATTAAATCGAACATAGGATTACTATCAAGTCTATTTTAATATAAAGGATTATTATTCACTTGGGTTTAATTGAAAACTCCTCCAGAAATTCTTCTTCTCTACCGTTTTTATTTCTCGAAGAGCGAATTTTACATTCATGGGCGTTTGTAGTTATCTCCTTTTTTGAGACAGTTTATTGCAAGGAAAGTTTCTCCAAAGATGTTGATATTGTTTTGCCCTTTCCTCTTTAGAAGGAGACTGAAATCTATTGCTGTAGGTTTCTATGTCTGGACACGTGTGGTTGATACATCAATCTACACTCGTCATAACTGGGTTGATCGTATCGAACGAACAATCAGAGGTAAAGCAGGGCAATTATCAATAAAAACATTATTACCAATATTGTTTAAAAAAGTTAAAATCAAAACTAAAATGAAACGTTCTTGTAAGGACACGATAACTAAATAAATTATAAAATATATTCAATGTTGAAGTTGTTTAAGCTATGGGAGCTTTAAAACATTTGGTTTCTAGGTCTAAATTGCTACCTCCTGAGATAGAAGCAAACAAATTGATCTATAACCATACATTAACACCTTCATGTTACCCAGTCAGAACCTAACCCTGTATATCGATTCTGCGGGCTTACACTAAACAAACAATTTAATAACTAGAGCCATGAATCACAAAGAATTAATATCTGGATAAAGAATTCCATTCTACAGTTTTTCAATGATATTTCTCTGTATTTTGTAAGGAACTCAGTGGTGATTTTAACACCACATTTCCCCTCCAACAATAGTTGTACAATACACACCAGGTTGGTGATTGATTGTGACCTTAAGAAAAGTGCTGTTGTGTATTCTTTAAAGTATTATTTCACATGAACACCTTAGAATTGACTAAAGAATAAGATTTCTTATAAACAGCCCACCTTCTTAAAGACAGTTTACAAACGGACTGAGTTATTGTTGGGTTTACATTACATTTATATAATATTGGTTGAAATATAGAAAAATAAAAAACAGAGAGAAAATTCATCGGAATGGAGCTTGAATTTTTTTTTCAAGAAGACATCTACAAAGGCCTAGGTCGCCAAAAGAAATTACAAACGTCCTTAACATTTACATAAAACACATATCTGTATCCAGGCGACATGTTTCTGACATGTAACATACGGAAAGATGGAGGTAAAATCTGGCACTAAACTATTATTGTGTCATGACTATATAGGGAATTTTTCTATAACCTGGAAACACGGTCAAAAGTCTTCATCAGGAATGTGCTACAACCGATCAATTAACTTGTTTTTAGTCGTGACAAAGTTAGACTTTTCAACAACAGATGTGTGAGATGTACTGGTAATTTAGGATTTTTACTTTCACTTGCTCAATAGCCACACAACGCTATTCTTTGCAGATGGATTTTATACGTCAATTTTTATTTATTTCTGAATTCTATTTGCCGGATACTTCCGTGTTTTTAATCAATACATTTAGAATTGACTTTATTCCGCCAGAAGGTTCTCATTGTACGCTGCAGGTTGTCTGTGTTTATCGTCTAGTATTACATGTATAATACTATCATTATACCAGATAGGCTTCTGGTAACGCTGCAGAATTATGACCTATTAATTGATATCCTGGTTGAAGGCTTTCCAGTAGATTCAGCAGAGTTATCGGTCATTACCTGTATGACCGTGATAACTTTGATGAAAAGCTCCATTTGTACACTGGAAATCTGGTACTACCACTGACTGACTATCATGCTGTCTCCACTATGTTTAAATCTGTCCATGTTAACCCCTTGTGTCTAAGGTGTGTAACAAGACAATTTCTTAAACATTGTATAGAGATTTAGTACTTACAAGATTCAGAGGTGTTGATGTTGTTAGAGAACGTATTCTGCTTTGTGTTAGAAAATAAAAACAAACTGGTTATCAGTAAATATTAATATTCAGTGTAAGAAACTCCGTGTACTGAAGAATATTGATATTTACAGAAATAAGTTAATCTGTCAGGTAGGAGAAATGAACGCTGATTTTCAACAATGGATTCAAGATTTGTCAATAACTAATACCGTATTTCAACCAATAATGAGTACACGTTTCTTACGACATAATTGATCAAAGGCGACTGTTCAATCTATTAGTTAAGATAGAAATACATGTTTATTAAAAACAAACAAACAAGTGGAGTTATTGCCCTTGGTTGGCACTAGACAGGGAAAAAATCAGCAGAGACAATTCATACAAATTTTAGTGTTTTTTTCACTAAAATTTCTGGTTGATTTTTGGCAAACCTTTAATATTAGTGCCACTTATCCTAAGGAGAGAAGGAGGGGATGAGTAATCAAGAGGTTTCCAGAGAATTCAGTGTACATTTCTACACTAGGAATTTATATAGAGTCACCCATGAAGAAGTACTAGCAGGCATTGAAGAGGCCCTAGGTAGGGGATGTGTGAAGTGTATACAGCTGACAACAGCAAACTCTGAATGCATTGTAACTTTGTCCAGCAAAGATAAGAAAAGAGACATGATCATCAAGGGAATTAATGTGAGAAATCGATTCTTCCGTGTTTTAGATGTGGAAAAGAATGTAACAAATGTGACAATCAAAGACGCACCATATGAATTAAGTGACCAATTTATTAACACACTAATGTTACAGTTTGGAGAGGTAGTACCCGGGAGTCTAAAGAGGGGAACACACAAAGACTCTGATATTGAAACTGGAGTTAGGTACATTCAACTACTTAATGCTAAAACAGTGATCCCAAATGAAACAAAATTTGGGAATTATACAAAGAGTATACAACTATAAGAAAAGCCTTCTCTTTGGAATGGAAAAATATGCTACAAAATAACAATGGAAACAATAGAGCTAAATTCAAAATTACAGAAGATTTATATTTCATTTATGGTAAAAATTTGCTGGCACTAAATAAACTATTTAATAAAGCTATTAAAAATGTATTGTTTCAAACAGCAAACCAGATAAAATCTATTCAGAAATGGGATACAGACTACAATCTAGAGTGGAAAGCAGTTTGGCATTCATTAAACAGCAGTAGACTAGAAAAAAAAGTAAAAGATTTTCAGTGGAGAAGTATACACAGAATTATAACCACTGAACACAAATTGAAAGAAATGAAGAAATCAAATGGTCTTTGTAATTTTTGTAAGGAAGAACAAGAAACACAACAACATCTTTTTAGTGAGTGCAGATTGAGTGAAGAGGTATGGCTACAAATTGAAAGGTTATTGAATGAGTGTCTCTTTAATGTTTCAGTAGATTATCAGTATATTGTTTTTACTGATAAAGAAAGGATTTTTGGGATATCAGAATATCCAGAGAACATCAACAAACTCTGTAACATTGTAATTTTTCATTCTAAGTGGTTAATCTGGAAGGCCAGAAATTCAAAGAAATTTGAAAATGAAATACAAAATCCACTATCTCTAATTGGTAAGATAAGAAATGAGTTGAGAGACAGAATAGATATGATAATAAGGACAAATAGAGAAGATTTCAGATTCTATCAGTTGTTACATGCATTAAAAATACAGTTATAAATGTTTGTCAACTATGTTATATCCTAGGTGCTGATTCTGTTTCAGAGCAAATTAAATGTTTTTACACATGTGCCCTGAAGTAATGATATATGAAAATATATATATATATATATAAATCATATTTCTGTACCAGGTACTGAAATATTATGTGTAATAGGTATTATGATAAAGACAAGTGTTGTGAATGGGAAATACAAATATCTGTAATCCATTGTACTGTATGAAATAAAAAATTAGAGAGAAAAAAACAAACAAACAAACACACACAAATAAAAAAGGCTAGTCAACACAAAATAAGTTTCCACTTCTAACCATTGTGATGCCTGTGTATGTAAATATACAAAGATTGATCAACGAATTGTTGTAAAATGGTGGTACGGTTTTACTAACGGTCGCTATCTTGAAGTCTTGCGATAAGCTTCAGGATCGTGGCTGTGCAGGTGAATGGAAATTGGATTCAGGTATCGCAGGCTAACTGAACGAGGTAAGTCAACACTGCAGGTAATATCAACACACATGCCAAATCGTATACATAGGTATGTGATCATTTCTATAGTGGCTACCTATCCAAACTTGGATTCGTCATTTAAATGAAACAGGCTATAGGTATTGAAATATATTTCCTAAAGCCAATACACACTTAGGTGTTGGATAGGTAGAGGAGTGTGTTAGCTTCAGATCGCCAGATCAATACACATTTGGGTGCTGGTCATCACGGACCAGACACAACCTGGGGACAAGATGACCATCACAAAACTTGCCGTTGTTGTCCGAATGAATGTTCCAAAGGCCTCAATTCAGAAGGAATTTTTAGGGCAGTTATCGGAATACCTGGCCAAAAAATACAATACGGAGGAACAGGTAAGGCTACATTGTGTAAAACATCGATATATAGTGACTATATAGTAGGGATTGAAACTTTCAGGAAAAAATTATCAAACCCATTTTACCCAATTTTTGCTGTCTGTAACATCGCAGAAGTACAGTGAATTGGCGGTGGAGGTGCCAAGTCACAAAATTGATTTCTTAACTTCTAAAGAAAGTATAAAGACCCTTCACGATATTGACCAGGTAGATATACCACTATGTTATTTATCACAAACATATCTTTGTTTCTAAAGTCAAGGACACTTACATCTATCGATTTATATTTAATCTAGACGCCTTCTTAAGTCTGTGATTTATACTTTTCATTTTTTTTCATTTTCTTTGCTATTGCTGGCTATAACTACACTGACTATAACTGTACACTGATTATAACTGTATGCTGACTATAACTATATGCTGACTATAAGTGTACACTGACTATAACTGTATGCTGACTATAACTGTACACTGACTATAACTGACTATAAGTGTACACTGACTATAACTGTATGCTGACTATAACTGTACACTGACTATAACTGTACACTGACTATAACTGTACACTGACTATAACTGTATGCTGACTATAACTGTACACTGACTATAACTGTATAACTGACTATAACTGTACACTGACTATAACTGTATGCTGACTATAACTGTACACTGACTATAACTGTATGCTGACTATAACTGTACACTGACTATAACTGTACACTGACTATAACTGTACACTGACTATAACTGTACACTGACTATAACTGTATGCTGACTATAACTGTACACTGACTATAACTGTATGCTGACTATAACTGTATGCTGACTATAACTACACTGACTATAACTGTACACTGATTATAACTGTATGCTGACTATAACTGTATGCTGACTATAACTGTACAGTGACTATAGCTACACCGACTATAACTGTACACTGACTATAACTGTATGCTGACTATAACTGTACACTGACTATGTCTGTACTCTGACTATAACTGTACACTGATTATAACTGTACACTGACTATAACTGTACACTGACTATAACTGTATGCTGACTATAACTGTACACTGACTATAACTGTATGCTGACTATAACTGTATGCTGACTATAACTACACTGACTATAACTGTACACTGACTATAACTGTATGCTGACTATAACTGTACACTGACTATAACTGTACACTGACTATAACTGTATGCTGACTATAACTGTACACTGACTATAACTGTATGCTGACTATAACTGTACACTGACTATAACTGTATGCTGACTATAACTGTACACTGACTATAACTGTACACTGATTATAACTGTATGCTGACTATAACTGTACACTGACTATAACTACACCGACTATAACTGTATGCTGACTATAACTGTACACTGACTGTAACTGTACACTGACTATAACTGTATGCTGACTATAACTACACTGACTATAACTGTACACTGACTATAACTGTACACTGACTATAACTGTAACTGTACTATAACTGACTATAACTGTATGCTGACTATAACTGTACACTGACTATAACTGTACACTGACTATAACTGTACACTGATTATAACTGTATGCTGACTATAACTGTACACTGACTATAACTGTACACTGACTATAACTGTACACTGACTATAACTGTACACTGACTATAACTGTACACTGACTATAACTGTATGCTGACTATAACTGTATGCTGACTATAACTGTACAGTGACTATAACTACACCGACTATAACTGTACACTGACTATAACTACACTGACTATAACTGTACACTGACTATAACTGTACACTGACTATAACTGTACACTGACTATAACTGTATGCTGACTATAACTGTATGCTGACTATAACTGTACACTGACTATAACTACACCGACTATAACTGTACACTGACTATAACTGTATGCTGACTATAACTGTATGCTGACTATAACTGTACACTGACTATAACTGTACACTGACTATAACTGTACACTGACTATAACTGTATGCTGACTATAACTACACTGACTATAACTGTATGCTGACTATAACTACACTGACTATAACTGTACACTGACTATAACTGTACACTGACTATAACTGTACACTGACTATAACTGTATGCTGACTATAACTGTACACTGACTATAACTATACACCGACTATAACTGTACACTGACTATAACTGTATGCTGACTATAACTGTACACTGACTATAACTGTATGCTGACTATAACTGTATGCTGACTATAACTGTACACTGACTATAACTGTACACTGACTATAACTGTACACTGACTATAACTGTACACTGACTATAAATGTACACTGACTATAACTGTACACTGACTATAACTGTATGCTGACTATAACTGTACACTGACTATAACTCTATGCTGACTATAACTGTACACTGACTATAACTGTACACTGACTATAACTGTACACTGACTATAACTGTACACTGACTATAACTATACACTGACTATAACTGTACACTGACTATAACTGTACACTGACTATAACTGTATGCTGACTATAACTGTATGCTGACTATAACTGTACACTGACTATAACTACACTGACTATGTCTGTACTCTGACTATAACTGTATGCTGACTATAACTGTACACTGACTATAACTGTACACTGACTATAACTGTATGCTGACTATAACTGTACACTGACTATAACTGTATGCTATAACTGTACACTGACTAAATAACTGTACACTGCTGTATGCTGACTATAACTGTACACTGACTATAACTGTACACTGACTATAACTGTACTATAAACTGTACACTGACTATAAACTGTATGCACTATAACTGTACACTGATAAACTGTATGCTGACTATAACTGTACACTGACTGTATATAACTATACACTGACTATAACTGTACACTGACTATAACTGTACACTGACTATAACTGTATGCTGACTATAACTGTATGCTGATTATAACTGTACACTGACTATAACTGTATGGACTATAACTGTACACTGACATAACTGTATGCTGACTATAACTGTACACTGACTATAACTGTATGCTGACTATAACTGTACACTGACTATAACTCTATGCTGACTATAACTGTACACTGACTATAACTCTATGCTGACTATAACTGTACACTGACTATAACTATACACTGACTATAACTGTACACTGATTATAACTATACACTGACTATAACTGTACACTGATTATAACTGTATGCTGACTATAACTGTACACTGACTATAACTGTACACTGACTATAACTGTACACTGACAATAACTGTATGCTGACTATAACTGTACACTGACTATAAATGTACACTGACTATAACAGTATGCTGACTATAACTGTACTCTGACTATAACTGTACACTGACTATAACTGTATGCTGACTATAACTGTACACTGACTATAAATGTACACTGACTATAACAGTATGCTGACTATAACTGTACTCTGACTATAACTGTATGCTGACTATAACCGTATGCTGGCTAAAAGAAATGCCTTTAATATTGTTTTGGGTGGTTTGAATCAGAATAATAAAATTTTGATAATTTTCAGCACGTGGTTCTCGAGGTCCACGGTGACGTCATGATGATGCGTGCAGGAAAAACGTCACCCATGTTAAACATGGATATTTATCACAACAGCGACATGATCACCCAGGCAACCAAGCACGCTGACGCCGGCACCATTGCCAAGTTTGTTAATGAGAAAGTCAGCATTGCCGTTGATAGGTTGGTTTACTATAGTTGTGGAAATAACATAATCATTTTCTGTTGACTTAGAACGTGACATTACTTACTTGGATTGGTCAAGGTTTACATGACGGGAGTCGTCGATGAAGTAGAAGACGCTTATTTTTCCGAAACACATGGTTTTATTCTCCTTGTGCTTGTTCAAGAGTTTCCGTGTAAATCTTTCTTTTCTTCATATTTTGCCATAGTTTTATTGAATTAGAGTTTGGGTTATGATTATGTTGACATGATGGTATTCATCGTTTCCTTACTGATTCGATAACTTACAACAGAAGATGCACTTTATTAGAAGGATATTTGTAAATTGTATTGTACAAATATATTTTGACCTCGTCATGGCCTCTGCTATGTGGTGCAAATCACATCATGCGTATGGTGTGTTGTCGATCTGCACATATATTCGTTTTAATGTTGATCACCAACGAAAAATGAACCAGCTAATTAGAACATATTTCATAAACGTTTCTACTACAATGTTTCAAATCTGTTGTCGTCCTTCAGGGAATTTTGTTAGATTGTTTAAGATGGCGTTATTAGTTACAACATAAGGAACGGTCGTTACTTCACAATGTTTAAACAATAACACAAAGGGCACACTAGTATCAAATCTACACCCGAATATTACATGTATTGTCCATAAACGATGAAATGAACACCATTTGGCCGCTTACCAGTTATCGGATACATTTGTTTGGAATTGTATTAGCTTAACAAAACATGCACTCAAAATTCAAATAAAAGTTATTCGAAAACTAGCGTCAATGTTAAAGGTATTTTCAAGATTACTATTTCGAGGGGAATGTTTTGAAATCAAACAGAAGTGTTTCTTTTCGTTACTTTAAAGACTTTAGATGAATCTGATATTTGAATGTTTATGATTCTAGGCCGTTAAGCTAATGTAGTGTTGTCGAAGCGTTATACAGCTGGTGATGTGTAGTATTATCCACCTTTCATGTCCACTGTCTGGTTTAAAGCCCCTGAACTTAGCTAGAGCAAACCAAGCTTGAGTAATGAAGTATATGTGAGAGGAAGCGAGAAGATGACACGCAATCTCTAACCATTGTGTTGTAGATATTAAAACCACAGGATCTGTAAATGTACAGCAAGCCTTTACGTTATATACAACAATTCTACAATAATCATTCTATTTTCAGCATACTTTATGCCAGCTGAGCATTGTATTCATATAATGAATGGATCGATGCCATGATAAAATATCTCGACTAAATTACCGTGAAAAGTCTATATCATGTGTATGTTTAGAGCATGTTTGATAATGTTTGGCTAAATGCAGTTACGAACTCCGTGTTAATTAAAGGTTCACTTACAATATTTGTGGTCGTGATTTAGATGTTAAAATAATTATGTTAGCTTAACGGAGAGTTCAGACAAGTTTTCAGAAACATATTTTATCAGAGAAATTTTGCCACAGAAATTAATTCAAGAGTGACACAGAATTGTAAAAAAAACGATCACGAGATTAAAAATGTGTCAATAATGGTTTAAATATGCATTGAATATAATTTAAAAGACAATGTAAAGCTAACCAATAACCACACTTACAAAACCAAAATCGTTTTGTTAAATAGTATTGTCAACTTAATGAGGTGTTAAATCGTAATCCTCTATTAAAATGGAGCATGTTCTATTTTGAAATACGATTATATTGAATCAAATGGTGAATTTCACTTTAAAACACTCTCGAGATCAAATTGAAAAGTCACTGAGAAGACCTGATATATTTGACTGGAGGTTGTCCAAGAACCTGAATACCTAAGTAATGTACATGTACTATAGATAGCACCGTTTATTGAAACGGTATCGATCTACCACAATATTTATCAAATTTGTTGAACGGCACCCTTAAAGTCCTCCGAATTTGTCAATCTACATGAATATGTTCTAAAACAATGTCTTCATGTTAATTATATAAGTTGGCTACCAGTTTATGGATTAAAATGATAAATTGTCAAATATTTCGTAGTTTCATATATTCAGGTTGTTTTATAAGATTTTTTGGAAAAAAAGTTGTTTTGAGCCTTGGCAAGCAAACATTAAAATTTCATGACGAGTGACGAGCGAATTCACTGCATAAGTGAGTGATAAAGAATATAAAAAGATGTTCGTTTTGAAACTTCGTCTATAAGATTTGTAAGTGTGTAACTTCAATATAATATTTATATTGGCATATAAATTAATTAGGCGACATAAATTTCAGTTGAAAAACTCTTAAACAATTGACTGAAATGCTATTCTTCTTTTTCAGAATATTGGTGCTTTTCTTTGACACCAGAAAGTGCACGTGACCGATGGTATCAGTTCTGCCTCCAAAGTCGCGTGCAGATCGCAGGAGTCTGTTAGGAAAAACGAGATATAATTTTTCACAAATGAACATTCAGTATTAATTTATTTCATTAAATAGATGTTGATTTCATCATTATTATCATTTCGGGGGAAGATCCAGAAGAGGAAGACTGATAATATCATTACATGTTGGTTATCGTTCTCCAATAGTAAAGGAATATGTAATAACGTAATATTTATTATATAAAAATGAATCATGGTTTTATGTATTACTTATCTTTTTATTTGATGTGAGTATTATATAACAACAGATACTAGCACGTTTTTAGATAGGGAAAGCTTTCCACAAAGTAGAGTGATAAGCACTCCATTTCTATTTTTCTATTATAAAAAAGTTCTACTTGTGATATCGTAATGACCATGCTTCCTAATATATTAGGTTTATTTGTTGCCTTTGTTTCGATCTTTATGGGTTTGTTCCCAGTATTATGATGTTGACAGAGATTGCGGTTGTTGAGTACTTCATTGGAAACTATTCTCTTTCGTTATTCAGTTAGATGTTTTCAAAGTTGGTATTTTGATGGTTCCGTGTTGTTTAGATTTATCTGATTCAGGAACATAACCCTTCTTACTTGTATTGACGTGGATTTACATAGCGTGTTTCGTCGGTGAAACAGAAGACGCTTATCTATCCGGAACACCTGGTCTTATTCTCTCCACTCTTTGTCTCTTTGTATCAAGTCCGTGTTTTGTCCTTGTTTTATCCATAAGTTCGAAATAATGTTCATGTTTTAATACCACAGGACAACAAGATATCGCCCAAGGTCGGTAAAAAGCTGTAAGAAGAACGCATCAAATCCAAGATCATCCAGATGACTTAAGATATTAAGAACTTATTGAAATTCCGATTCTGCTATTGATAAGCTATGAATATGTAATATTGTTTCAGACATTATGCCTGAACAGTGAAATTAACTTATGTCAAACATTAACTCTAAGTCGGCAATATAGTACAAGTGGTAAAGGGGCGACAACTCGGAATGTAATACGCTGCTTCTAAGTTCGGTCCTTTACTTGGATGTTTATCATGAAGACATAATACCCAGAGGACAGTTAGGTACTCGCCTAGACAAAATTAGCATATTTGATGTTATTTTGATTAAGGAATACAATGTTTTATATTGAATATAACGTCGTTAAGTACTACACTGGCGAATTAGATAGCAGCAGACGCTATGAAATATTGAGACAAATGTCACGAGCTGAAAATCTGTGTTTTTCCCCCAAAATAACAAACACACCTTTAAATTGATATTCTTTTCCAAAGAGATCGTATAACTGCCTGTTATTTTCGATCAGTTCTAGGCGTCCTTTAGTGAAAAAAAATGGAAAAAAGAAAAAAAGTCATGTAAGTCACCAGTTTTAATCAACACAGAACGTCGACATGTCTATTTAAAGGAATGAAAAGCAAATTTAAGTCGTGACTAATATCTTTTATTGTCTTTGATATAAGAAATAAGCAAAATGAAAACTTTTGTCCAACTATTGACAATCCAGGACAAATTTATCGTTATCTATTTTAATACGATCATTTAAGGATCCTGCAATGAAATCACTGATTCATCTTCACACAAATGATGACCAGAAAATTGTAAATAAGGAACCTTTCATTTAACATAGTCAGTAAGTAACAGATGTATTAACGGAATAGTGATGTGTTACAACCACTCGTATACCCACTGCCAATTGACCACAGGGAAATGGACAGTACAACTGCATACAATTTTTTTTCTCTTCGGATTTCATATTGAAATGGTTATAAGGGCAATCTAAGGTATGGTGTTGTCAAATAAACTTGACAGATACTACCTGTCTTTTGTCCTGATATCTAAGAGAAAGAATACTCCACAGAAGTTTACACAGAGAGAAGGCGGTAGGGCGCTGTTTATCTCTCATTCTTTTCTCCGCACTTAATTCAACTTTATTGTTAATGTGTTTTAGCTGTTCCAGAATGCTTTTACAACTTACTCTAGTGCCTTGTACAAAAACTTATTTACTTGGGCTTTGTTTCAGATTTATGGTCAACATAATAAGTGAACATTTCCAAGTCAATATGGCTCCCTTCCTGTTTTTCAACCTTTTAACGTCATTTTTGTCTGATTATTTTACATGAAATCATGACGAGGAACTTGTGATTTCCGGTCGTCAGTTGTAGGAACCGGTAACAATTATAAACAAAGTATTAGCTATTTTGCAAAGTTGAAACAATTACGTATCCGGTACATCCGGAAGATAGATATTCATTTTCCAATTTCGTTATTAAACGTTGATTATAAAATCATAACTACTGTATTAGCAAATAGATTAACGCGTGTACTTAACTATATTATAAGCGATACTCAGAAACGATTTTTGAAAGGCAGATACATTGGCGAATGCACGCGACTGATTTATGATCTAATTGAGAAAACAAATGAAAAATATATTCCAGGAATTTTATTATTAATAGATTTCGAGAAGGCTTTCGATACAGAGGAATGGAAGTTTCTTCATAAAACTCTTTTTGTCTTTGTTAATAATATAAAGTCGTGGGTAGAACTTCTGTACAATGACGTCACTAGCTGCGTCATCAACAATGGATTGTGTTCAATTTTTTTCCCTATCAAAAGAGGAGTCCGTATCTATTCATTCTTGTAATAGAAGTTTTAAGTGCTGCTTTAAAATTTTCACCAGATATAAAGGGTATTAAGATAGGTGATACAGAGATCCTTTCGAGTCAATACGCTGACGACTCTGCAATATGTCTAAAAGATGAAGAAATTTCTTTAAAATCAGCTTTAGATATTTAAGATTCTTTTGGATATTGTGCTGGCTTGAAAGCCAATTATGACAAAACCGAAACTATTTGGATAGGCAGCAGAAAGGGCTGTCAGGAAAAATTGCTTACTCAAAGAGGTTTGAAATGGAATTTAGTTGGAAAGTTTAAAGTTCTTGGTATCAAATATGACCTGAGTAAAATGGATACAACCTTTGTAAATTATGAAGAAAAATTAATGGAAGTCAAGCGAGTTCTAAAGAACTGGTCTTTTAGAAATCTTACCCTGAGTGGAAAAATCACTGTTATCAAACCACTGGCAATTCCAATACATGTGCAGTCATTTACAGTTTTACCAAAGCCTCCCTGCCACATACTCCGACAGGTAGAACAGAAATGCTTTAACTTTATATGGAACTACAAAAACGATAAAATCAGGAGAGGAACACTAAAACACAGTTATGAGAATGGTGGTCTTAATATGACTGATATTGAAAGTGTCATTAAATCTTTGAAAATGACCTGGATCAAGAAATTAATTGATCCTCAAAGCACATCCCCTTGGAAACTACTTCTGGTAGATCAATTGAATGAATATGGAAATTTAAACATTCTCTCATATGTAAAACATGATATGCTTAAAATCACTAACAAATTTAATCTTTTCTGGAAAGAAGTATTTTTGGTTTGGAGTGAACAAAATTTGGAACAGCAGGATGCAGAGTATTTTTGTCCCAACCAATATGGTTTAATCATAATATAAAAATAGGTAACAAAACAGTATATTTCCAGTCATGGCAAGATAGTGGCATCAACCAGATAGCAGATCTTATTCTATGGTAAGGTGATGACTTTTCAGAATTTACAAGAACGCTTTAATATACCACAAAGTCAAATGATGCAGTGTTATGGCATTATTTCCGCCATCCCGGGTGCATGGAAAAGGCCAGTCAGTCGCCATGGTAACAATAAGGTGCGAGAAACTAATAATATTAGACTTATAAAATCTCTTGTCAAACCTACTAGAATTTTTTATTTAAAATTTTGTTCCTCTGTTCTTTCTATTAATCAAAAAGAAATTGAAAAGTGGTCTCAAGATCTGCAAAACCTAGAAATAGATTGGAAATATACGTATTTGATACTAAGGAGCTGTACACAAGATGTAAATCTAAGAAATTTTCAATTCAAAATTTTTCATAGAACATTATGTATTAATACACTTTTATATAAATTCGGTATAAATGATGACAGGAATTGTACCTTTTGTAATTATGAACATGAAGATTTGTATCATCTAATGTGGCAATGCATTCACGTAAATGTTATTTGTAGGAAATTTTCAGATTTAATCAAGGTGAAATGTAACATTGAATATGAAATTGACAAAATGGATGCCATGTTTGGATGTAAAATCAATAATAATAATTTGCTTAATTGTTGTTTTCTGATAATAAGACGCTACATATATACATGTATATGGGGGGGGGGGGGATAGATATTCATATAGTGAATGTTATTTTCCAACATTACTACAATATGGGTATTTATTCAATGGCAACATCGTTATTTTCTTGTCTATCCCGCCTCAAACACACAGCAAAAAGTCAGGTTTAACTGACAATTTACATCATGAATACCACTGATATCTGTCACATTTTACTATAAAGCGAATCGTTGATGCTTGATTCAGTAAAATATGTATTTTTAATTGGAGTCCTTTCCGGATTTTTTTTGGGATGAACGATGACGACGGATTGATAATAGTGAGATGAACGAGAGTGACCTAAATACAATCAACACCACTCACAGCCCCAGGAAATGCTTTCTTTAGTTATTCTATACCTTTTACCACAGCAGATATTCTAAAAGTTTAAAATTTAAGATTTGAGAACCATACAACACCATTGCTATTACATGTTCATAGTCAATTGATAAACCTAGTATATCACATCTTTAAATGAATCTTTTTTTTCATTTTGCTACTGGTTGCTGTACTTAATTTTGCAAGAACATTATTCCTACACCCCAAAGACATCTCCTTGGATGTAAATAACAAGTAGGTATATCATTTTATTTTAGAACATAACGATTCACGGCCTACAGTCTCCTCAATGAGCGCTACTCAATTCCTTTCTGAAATCATTGAAAATAACAAAATAACAAGGGGATTCTTTATTTCATGAATTTTGAAAAATATTTCGTGATCATATTTTTTTTCTTCATATTTATCT